CACCATAGAAGGCGTGTTCCAAGACTTTGGTGCCAAGTTTAATTTGCCTTGTGCTAGCAGGTTAGCTCTTGCCATTCTGCCTGGTATCCTAGCAAAAAGCACCATGCTTATAGGAAAGCTGGCAGGCTTTTCATCCTACTCTGAGACTATTTCTATGCAAGGGGAGCACTTTTGCACTGTCATTGATTAACCCTGTTCCTTAGAAGGATATTAGTGTGGAAAATCTACCCCGAGGCTGTTCTGCTGGAAGTTATGGTTTTGCAGTTCATCTTGTCTGTCAGGAATCAACACTTTCTTCTGATCTCTGCTTCCGGACTGGCACTTGGAAGGGTTTAATGTACCTGAAAGCATTCGTTCTAGTCTGCCAATTCAGCCCTCATCCAAGTCTTTCCCACATGACTTTAGTGGTAGATTTCAAGAAGCAGTAAACCTAGGGGTGAATGCTTTATCCCACTGGAAGGATGCTATTCCTCCCTGATAACGCACAGCACAGCTTGCTAGCTCCAGCTGTTCTTAAGCTCATAGCTACTACGAAGACAGCATCGCCTAGACAGGGCACTGGACTAGGACTAAGGAGGCATGGGTTCAAGTCACAGGTCTGCCACTGGTTTGCCAGCTGACCTTAGGCAAGTCATTTCACCCGTGCCTCAGTTTTCCCCTACCTGTCAAATGGTGATAATGACCTACTTTGAAAGGGATGACTGGAAAGCAGGATATGTGAACTAAGTGTTAGTAGTAGCTACCAAACAGTTCAAGCAGGAAAAAATCCACACCAGAAGGTGACTGGCATGCCTTTTGAAGGTCCTGTCAGAGCGACAGACAACCGGTTTAATACTATGTGGGAATCTACGATCTTCCCCCTCCCTGCCAGCTTTTAAATGGTAACAGATTCATTGTCAGCCTTGGAGACTCACGACCACGCAAGCCCCTCAGTAATAGGCCCTTCATTTTCAACCCGTGTCAGTAATAGCAGGTTGCCCAGATACTCCGACAGGCAGACCAGGCTCATCATCATGCCACGGCCTGGTCACAACATCTTAGAAAGATGGCAACATTTTTCTGGCAGCAGCGTGAAGCCAAGCTGCTTTTTCCTAGTTGTCCCAACCCCACCACTTGCTTGGCCAGCGCCTTCCAATCCTTTTCTCCACTTACACAACCAGCGGCCTAGAAAGGGGGCTAGTTCTTGTTACCACTCTTCTCCGCCCTGAAGAGCCCTTCTCCACACAGATCGCCTCGGTGCCAGCAGCTTTCCCCGGAGACGCTCTCTGCCGCTGTTCTTCAGCATCACAGCATGGACAGCATTGCTGCTAGAGCGTGTAAAATCTCACCCATCACTGCTTTTTACTCTAAGAGCGAACACGTTCTCATCTCCCACCCTTCGCCCCCCCCGGCTGGGTTTGGATTAAAAATAGGGGTGGGGAGCAGAGCACTCAGCACACTTGTGCAACCTTGAAGTCACTGCTCTAGAGTCCAGCATCTAGCAACAAACAGTCCAAACTTCCAGCCATTTGAAATAGTTTTTGAGCCAGTGCTAAAGCAAGCCACAAACCTCACAATGACACAGATTTCTGCATCACAGCTCAAAAACAGTTCCTTAATGCCCCCCCCCTCCCCCGCAGGTTTAGAGGAAATCATTGGAATCATCTGATTTCATTACAGGAGAGCTGTAAACAAACAGTTTCTGGCCTTTACTACTTTATGAACAGGATATGCTGGAATGGTCCCGAACGCCCCTCACATTAGAAACTGGGTTTGCAGAATTAAGCCTCATGCATCAGTCCCAAGGAAGATCGCTGTTCATGCTAGGACAATAGCCATGGGAGCAGGGCTTCCCTATCCAGTATGGACAGCATCCTCCTTCTAGAAAGCCATCCTATATGGACTATAACCCCCGAGTACAACATGGCTTCCAGACAGATAGGATCTCTAGAGCCCTGCTGGTAACCAGGGTTTTACCCATTTTAGCCTGCACCAGCTAACTGTGGCTGATCCCCATAGCCAGGACCAAAGGGACAAGACGGTCCTGGGGCCATTTCTAACAGGAGCCTCCAACATGAAATTGGTCATTTCAGCAGATGACAGTGGCAGACTCAGTTTCCCCAACATGCCCATGGAGGCAGGTCTGAGCCCCGGACACCCAACAGGCAGAACAAGGAGCACGGGGAGTCAGTAGCTCTGCACACTAAATGCAGAGAGACAGGGACTCCGTGTGACCCCAGGGCCAACTCATGCCCCCTCTCAATGTCCAGCTTCGCTCTCATGTAAGAGGTGGACGATGATGCTAACTTAACTCCATAAAAAGAAAAGGAGTACTTGTGGCACCTTAAAGACTAACAAATTTATTTGAGCATAAGCTTTCGTGAGCTACAGCTCACTTCATTGGATGCAAATAAATTTGTTAGTCTCTAAGGTGCCACAAGTACTCCTTTTCTTTTTGCGAATACAGACTAACACGGCTGCTACTCTGAAACTTAACTCCATAAAGTATTTGGTGACCTTGGATGAAAGGTGCTATAAATGCAGAGTGCAAACAATAATTAGTTAATTATCCGAGTAATAACCCTGTGTCCCTTATACACCCAATGCTTCCAGCCTGCTGTTAACTAAGAATAGAAAACAAAAGGTCTCATGGTATAAAACATGTTACCATTTCCTGAGATTCATCTAACTCAGCTGGTTTCAGCCTTATCCATACTTGTGATCCCCCTCTACAACAGGAGCTTTCTGGGACCTTCCCCACAATCTAGCCCTGACAAATCACAGGGTAGTTACAACACCCAAGGTTCATTTCCAACTCCCAGGTCGAGACCCCAGGATCTAAAACCAGCTCTGGTGGACAGCCTGAGGTCTGATTCTCCTTCGCCTTAGACTGTGGAGAGGAAGGATTGTTTAGTGATTAGAGCACTGAACTCTGGAACTCAGGAGACCTGGGTTCAATTCCCAGCTCTGACACACCTCAGGCAAGTCTCTTGGTTGCTATGTGCTTCAGTTTCCTCTCTAAAATAGAGAATCCTTCTCTACCACTCAGGGGTGTTGCCCGAGTAAATACATTAAGTCTTCGATACTATGGGAACGGGGGCCACAGAAATACACATCTAAACCCCTGGACCACAGAAATACATAGCCACAGCTGTGCTGACCTCACCCCCTAGCACAGACGCTATGGTCCTATAACCCCCAGAGTGCAGACAAGCCCTAAACTAGACAGACTGTGGTGTCATTTACACTGTTTCCATATGAACATGTTATGCAACCATCCTGGCTGGGGACAGAATACCCACCTAGGACTGCTACATTCAGTGCAAAGCAGGGAAGCACTGGGCTGGGGAATCCCACAGGCAGGAGGTCTCAGGGTTGTCTATATGAGACAGTTGCACCGGTTTTATTCCAGGTGTTACTTGAAACCAATGTACTTAAACCGGTGCAAAAGGCTGTGTGAACACTTATCCCAGTTTAAGCCAGGCAGCTTGTTTCAGTTTAGCTTAAAATCAACTGGGAACTGAACAAAAAAAAAAAAAAAGCTTCTCCAGAGGAATTTGCCTCAAATTAACTTAAACTGGAGCAAATTCTACAAGGCCTAACACTTTCAAGGCTGTCCTGCATCACAGAGGCAGATAGCTGGATCACCGGCCCTTTGGCGCTTCAAGGAGCCCTACCCAGAGCAAGGTGAAAGGTATTTGCATTCCCTGGTCGGATGATCGGAAGGGAGGAGGAAACAAGAGTAATGACTTTCTGGGTGTCACCAAGACAGAAGGGGGGGGAGGGAGTGGCCTTAGCACCTGTGCCCGGTGAAGCAGAGGCCCTAGACCTGTATGGGACCAAGGTCTCCTTGTAGGGGGAAATGAGGCAGAGGAAACCATTGGCTGTTCCAGTCTCTATAGGGTATCAGGACACCCTCTTCTCTGTAGATCTGAGCACCTGTCAACTGGGCATTAAGCAAAATGACTGACATCCACCAGAGGCTCAGTAACGTGCGGCCTGGGCTCAGTCCCCATGGGGTGCAGGATTGGGCCACAGTGCTGTGGGGCGCACAGCCTTGAGACCAGAAGACTGGAGCCATTCAGGTTCACCCGCCTGGGGGTGGGGGCAGTTCCTCTTTTCTGTCTGCCCCCCTTGGGGCTTACAAGGGGTGGGGTAATATGGTACCAGAGAAGGGTGAAGGATACTAAAATTTATCACCACTAGGGAGAGTGATGCCCCCACCCTCAGAGAGGGGGAATCTGACCAGGTGTGGGGACTGAGCCCCTCCCTCCCTGGGGTTGGGGGGCCGAGAGAGGGGATCTCTCCTATGTGGGAGGGAAACAACCCCCAGAACCCCCACCCTGAAAGGTGGGATGATCTCCCCTGTGTAGACAGGGACACCCCCCCCCCCCGGGGAAAAGGAGATCTCCCCTGTGTGGAGAGAGAACCCGCCCCCAGGCTGCCCCCCCCTCCCAGGGAAGGGGGCTCGGGATCTCCCTGTGGGACAGAGAACCCCCACTCTGGCTGCACCGAGAAGGGGAAGAGTTCTCCTGTATATGGATCCCTGGGGAAGGGAGCCCCACAGGGACAGACGGGGGAACCCCCCGGGGCTGCCCCCCCGCCAGGGCCCCCCCCCAGGGACGGACGGGGGAACCCCCCGGGCTGCCCCCCCAGCCAGGGCCCCCCCCAGGGGCCCCCGGGCCCCCCAGCCAGGGCCCCCCCAGGGACGGACGGGGGAACCCCCCGGGCTGCCCCCCCCGCCAGGGCCCCCCCCCAGGGACGGACGGGGGAACCCCCCGGGCTGCCCCCCCGGCAGGGCCCCCCCCCAGGGACGGACGGGGGAACCCCCGGGCTGCCCCCCGCCCCCCCCCCCCAGGGACGGGCTGCCCCCCCGGCAGGGCCCCCCAGGGACGGACGGGGGAACCCCCCGGGCTGCCCCCCCAGCCAGGGCCCCCCCCAGGGACTGACGGGGGAACCCCCGGGCTGCCCCCCCCAGCAGGGACGGATGGGGGGGGCCCGGGGACCCCCGCCCCACTCACAGGTAGGGCTCCTCTGGGGCCCGCCCGCCTCCAGCCTCCCGGCCCGTCAGCACCACCATGGCGGGGCCGGCCGAGGGAGGCGGCCGCGCGGCTCCGCTCCGGATAAAGCGGCCGCGGTGCCAGCCCCGGGGCTCCCCCCCCCCGGAAACCGCGTCAGCGGCGGGGCGGGCCCAGAGGTTAACCCCTGCGGGCCCGGGGCGGGGCAACAGAGACAGAGGGGGCAGCCGGGGGGCGGGGTAGGACGGGATGGGGCAATAGAGACGGGGCAGCAGGGCCCGGGGGGAAAGGGGAGAGGGACACAGAGCCTGGGGCAGGACGGGATGGGGCAATAGAGACGGGGCAGCAGGGCCCGGGGGGGCAGGATGGCCTGGGGTGGGGCAGGGCGTGGGGCAGTAGAGACAGAGGGGCAGCAGGGTCTGGGGGGCAGCAGAGGGCGGGGGGCAAAGGGGGGGAAGGGGCAGCAGGGTGGGGGTGGGGAGGGCGTGGGGCAGTAGAGACAGAGGGGCAGAGGGTCTGGGGGGGCAGCAGAGGACGGGGGGGTAATAGGGCGAAAGGGGCAGGATGGCCTGGGGTGGGGCAGGGCGTGGGGCAGTAGAGACAGAGGGGCAGCAGGGTCTGGGGGGGCAGCAGAGGACGGGGGGCAATAGGGCGAAAGGGGCAGCAGGGCCTGGGGGTGCGGCAGGTCGTGGGGCAATAGAGACAGAGGGGCAGCAGGGCCTGGGGGTGCAGCAGAGGACGGGGGGCAGGATGGCCTGGGGGGGAGCGTAGCATGGAAGAGGGGTGCAGCGTGGCTTGTGGGCAGGATGGGGCGTAAGGGCAGCAGACCCAGGGCAGGAAGCCATGGGGGGGGCGTGGGTTGGGGCAGGGAATGGGGCGGGAGCAGGGAGCTCAGCAGAGCATGGGGGTGGGGAGCATAGTTTCAGGGCAGCAAAGTTTGGGGCAAAGGCTGCAAGGTGTCCCGGAGCACAGCAAAGGCTTGTGGCCTAGCACAGTTCTTACACACACACACCCCTGTGCACCCACACAGTCAGACAGGTGAGGCCCTGGGGGAGACGGTGGGACAGGTTGGGGGGCAATGCCATCCATAGGCTCAGTTCTACCTCTCTCGGACCCTAATGGTTTTACCTACCTGGGCTTCCCCAAGGTCTGGCCAAGATTAGGGCCACCATATTTCCCAAAGGGAAAAGGCGACACCGCGTGGGGTTGGCCCGAGCTGCTCGCCCGGGCCCCCCTCCCTGCATGGGGCTGGCGTCGCTGCTCACCCAAACCCTGCCTGCCCCATGCGCCAGGCTGGGGCTGGTGTTGCTGCTCGCCAGAGCCCTGCCTGCCCCCTGCCTCCCACCCTGCTCAGGACTGGCATTGCCACTCACCACCCTCCCCGGACACATACTCCTGCATCCCAGGGTTTTGGACCAAAGTGGCCATTTTGTCCCGTTTGCTCTTGCCAGCTTGCCCGGGACAGCTTAAAGAAGGGACAGTCCCGGCCAAACCGGGATAGATGGTCACCCTAGCCAAGACAATGGTGACAGTGGGTTGGCAGAACGTGCGGAAATCATGAAAGAAGTGACACCTGCTCCAGAAACTGAGGGTCCTTTGTTGAGGGGAATCAAATCATTAGTGTCCTTTGTGCCCTGCGGCTCCAAAGCTGCTTTTGGAACCCCCAGTCAGCAGCCAACATACCATGGAGACTGTGCCCTTCCCTCCCTGACTATGCCATTTGGACCCTCCGCCTGCTCCCCTGTAAGATCATTTGGAAACACCAGCTGGACCACGATACGCTGGAGAGGCCTCTCGCCTTCAGTTTCTTTGTGGGTTTCAGTGTATAAAGCCCTCTATGGCCTGAGTCCTGGCTTAGACAGTTTGGGACCTCAGAGTCTACCTCTCCCTCTTTATGCTCCATCTCCACAGTTGAGATCGGTTGGCAAACTATTGCTAACAGTTGCCAGTTCTGAATTCTGGAAGGGGCGCTGGGCGTTCGGGGCCACGTGTCTACACTGGGAGTGCTCTCCCTCTGAATTAGACCAGCAAAGCGCTCCTGGTGTGGACACAGCTCTATTGGCAAAGCTGTCCTTTTGCCAGCTTACCTTAATCTACATGCAGCCCGAGTAATACGCGCTATTTCATTAAAAGCACTGCTTTGCCAGTACAACTGCGTCTACACTAGAGGCCTGCGCCAGCCCAGCTCAGGCAGTCTGCCAGCTACGTTGGACAAAATCTATAGTGTGGACATGGCCTGTGCGGGGGGACAGCCTCTGCCCTGGAATTTGTTCCCCCAGGAGTCTGACAGAATCTGAGTTTGTGGACCTTTATCCTGTTTTGTGCCTGAGAGGCTGGTTTGGGTGGTTGGGCTTTGACATCCTTGAATGGAAAGTGCTAGGATGGGATGTGCGCTATTACTCAATCCAGAGGAGGGTTCTATGCCAGCACAGTTAAGCTGGCTCACTGCCCAGGCCATCTGAAGCAGAGTTTGTGATGAAAACCGTGTGCAGCAGAGCTGCACCAAGCAGGGCTGTTGTGCGTGTGATGCCGCTTTCCTCAGCTTCACCTTGGTTTCATTATTTTTTCAGCAAGATGGGCCTACAGGCCTTTTGCCCTGCAGTGGCTGAAAATGAAAATGATATTTGTGTTTGCAGCTGTACTGAGTTTGCTTTGACATTGACATACCGTTAACCTCCTATATTCGCTCTCGGTTCCCCCTCTTTCCATTCCCAGGGCTGTACTTTCTCCCTAGAAATGTGCCCTCTCAATCACACGGGTGAATTAAAGGTATGATAGAGTCACAAGAAGTTCAGAGAAACATCCCACTTTTGAATACTGCTGCAAACTCCCTGGGTTTCCAAAACTGGGCTGGGAATCTGTCAGTCTAGTTGCCAGCACCACTGTATCTGAGCATCTACTCGTTTCTCTAAGGCCTTGTCTACAGAGGAAAATTTACCAACAGAACTATCCTGATGTAATTAGACTACTGTAGTTATCGCTATAATAAGATTCCAAGGTGGTCACTCTGTCTGTGTGTGGCCAGGGATTCATGGAGATTGGGGGTGGCTCTTATATTTTCCAGACTGGTTCTGTCATGTCTTGCAAACAAGCTGGACTGTAGCGATGAACCCAAACCCTGGATCTTTATCTTGAACTTGAAGCAAGTTCAGCTCCAGACCTGAATTTCATGGTCTAGGCGTAGCTCTATAATGGATCGATCCAGAGCCCTGGATCCAAACTTTGGGGAAGTTTGGATTTGAATCCTGAGCCAAAATCCACAGGTGGAGCCCACTTCTAGTACACAGGAAGGGATTCCTTTCCCTTCTCTGCCCATCCCTGTATCCCAGTTATAGGGTAGTAAGGATCAGCAGGAGTCGGACAGAGCTAATAGTTTCCTAAATGAGACGCGCTCTATACACAGCAGTCCTCTCCCATCCTCCCCTTCCCTGCTTTCACAAAGCTCTCATGGACACAGTTTACTGAGCCTCCCGCTATCTGTTGAGTTCTGCTGTGAATAGTTGCATCTGTATTTCATACCCTTCCCTCTCATACCAGGCAGAAAAGTGATCGTTCATATTGAACTACCTAGGTACCACCGTGTGGCTGGGTACATACCTCCATGTGTCTGTGCTGCTGGAGGGGTTAGCCTCCTGGCATGTCTGGGCATGGGATGTGGCAGCTGCTGAGCAGTACAAGCCAGCACTCTTCAGTCTTTTAGGACAGGAAGCAGCAGCCTGCAGCCAGTTGAAACGGCAAGAGGAGGAAATTTCACCAGTTACCTATATTGGAAACCCTCGTCTTGCATAAAGGCCCCGAACCATGGAAGTTAGGAGCCTAAATACCATTGAGGATCTGGGCCAACGTCTCCTGTGACCTTTAACAAATTAACAGATATATGTATCATGTGTACAATACATTCCCCCCATAAACAAAATAAGTTTGGAGATGCCATTACCAATGTTCCTGCTTCATAACAGCATTAGGACATGCCATAGTCCTTCCATTCTGGGTTTAAATCTTCTTTATCTGGAGCGACACAGCCGTGGTATCATCTGGTGATTGTATTTGTGTTGACTGTACTCTTCAGTCTGCCCAGTGAGTAGTTCTAAGGGCTTTTTTGTATCACAGTCAGTGTTTTCTTCACTTGCTCTTTTAGCATCACAAATCATATTTTTGTCAACAGATGTGATTGCACCCATATGAACAGTCCTTGGGTGTCTGCAGATTCACCTAACTAACTGTCCATTCTCTGTCTGAATTGCATATTACCTGAGTTGATCTGCTAGTTACATCACCATGCTAGGGGGCCACTGACCCCTTAAATTTTGCATAATTATGATGGAGTTTTTTTGTGAGATTTCAGAGTTCTGGCATTTATAACATAGAATGATTTCAGTTGTCATCCATCCATCCATCCAGCTCTGTTTTATTTTGTTGTGATCTGCAGCTCTAGGCATTAAAAGAGACTCCTTCACAAGTAAAAACTAAAAAAATAAATTAAATAAACAATCCCAGTGAGGACCTCAGTGTTGCATCTCATCCCCTTGTTGTATACTAACATCAGTCTGAATCCCTTATCAGAGCACCGGCTGCTGAGTTGCCAACAGCATACTTTACATGCCCATAGGGACACAAAGGAAACATAAGAGGAATGCTGGACCAGATCCTCAGCACGACCCCACTGATGTGAGTGGAGTTGTGACATACTGACAATATCCTGGACAAACCTTATGAAGTTAAGATAAACTCTAGTGAATTAATGTTAACCTGACTGAATTAGCTGTCAGACCTCTGGGGCCATTGTGTTAAACGTGAAAATTGTGTATGTGCTATTGTGGAATTGTCCGTAATGCCTGTAGGAGGAGATGGATGCTAATATAGGTCCTCCAGTATCAGTCTCTTGGAAGCCACCCCCAGGATCTCTTTTCGACTGGGTGTTCTGGTCGAAAACCGGATTCCTGGTTACCCTACCCAAGAGAGGTGACAGCCAGGGGAGCAGGAAGCCTGGGAGTGGGTGACCTGGCTGGACCACTGAAGGGAAATACAGGTGCACTTGCCCTGAATTGCGACAGGAGTAATCCCAGCTATGGATCTGGCCCATGGTTTTCTTGTTTTTTGCTCGTTTCAGAGTTAGCGGCGTGGCTTGTTTTCTGAGGATTTTGCTGCTGTAATTACA